AAGTCCCTTTACGACCAGGTTAGCAGGCCTTTATCACCTGGGTGCGTAATATAATGTATACAGGAGAAGGGGTTACTAGACCCTGGCTCCTGGCATGATAGTCGTCTCTTACGACACGTATGGCTTACAGAGGAAGAATTCTCTTCGAAGAACCCCATGGACATAAGAGGAAATAAACAAAAACAAGAACTAGTAAGAAAATAGGAGAAAACCCAGATGTGTGTGTGTGTGTGCGTATAATATATATATATATATATATATATAAATATATATTATTATAATATATATTATATATATATATATATATATATATATATTATATATATATATATATATATATATATATATATATATATATATATATATATATATATATATATATATATATATATATATATATATATATTACTTGTGTAGTGTGACCTAAGTGTAAGTAGAAGTAGCAAGACGTACCTGAAATCTTGCATGTTTATGAGACAGAAAAAAGACACCAGCAATCCTACCATCATGTAAAATAATTACAGGTTTCCATTTTACACTCACTTGGCAGGACGGTAGTACCTCCCTGGGCGGTTGCTGACTACCAACCTGCTACCTAGAACTTTGTATTGTATTCAATATATTTTAATCGCACACCTTTTGCTGACAACCGAGCATTCACTTCTCTTACAACCCCATCAATAAATATTTTGAACAACTATGGTGACAACAGGCATCCCTTTCTAAGGCCCACTTTTACTAGATAAAAATCTCCCTCTCTTCTACATACTCTGACCTTACTCTTAGCATCCTCAGAAAAGCCCTTAACCTCATTTAACTGCAATATCTGGCACATTACTATCCTATCCAGCCGATCATATGCCTTTTCTAAATCCATAAATGCAATGATAACTTCCTTACCCTTATCTAAATATGGTTTGCTTACATACTTCAATGTAAATACTTGGTCTACACATCCCCTACCCTTCCTACAATCTCATGGTTCCTCTACGATCCTGCTCTCCGTCATACACTAAATTCTTTCAATAATAACGCTACGACACTTTACCAGGTATACTCAACAGACTTATTTTCCTATAATTCTTACACTCTTCCGTCCTCTTTGTCTTTATATATACAAATGAACTAAGTGATAGATGGTTTTGAAAACCAACAAGTTGAAGATTGAAACGCTTTTGCAATATATGGGAATCTTTATTAAGGAAACGTTTCGCCACACAGTGGCTTCATCAGTCCAATAAAAAGTAGAAATGGGTAAGGAGAGGAGGAGTTTGAGGTAATCAGTCCCTCAGCCTGGAATCGATGTGTTCAGTCCATCAGTCTTGTAGAAAGTGCAGCATATGACCGGAGATGTTGCTTATATACTGTAATCACCTGCTTTATCACGTTTCACTTTACTGACAGCCTCCCGCATCTCCTCCACACTCATATCTGGCTCTCTCCTCACTCCTATAAGACGCTATACCTCCCTGCCTCCCTCTCTTCATCAACATTTAACAGCTCCTCAAAATATTCCCTCCTTCCCAATATATCCAGCTCCTCATCTAATACCTCTCCTCTTCTGTTTTTAACTGTTAAATCCATTCGTTCCCTAGTCTTCTCGACTTATTAATCACACTCCAAATAATTTTCTTGTTATCAGCAAAATTTGTTAACAGAGCCTAACTCACTCTCTCATTTGCCCTTCTTTTACACTCCCTCACGGCTGTCTTGTCCTCTCTGCTATATCGCTTCTGCTTTGCAAAAAGCTCTCATATGCTATTTTTTCTCACCACTCTCTTTTCCTCATCATTCAGCCTATCGTTCCTCTTCCTCCTGCAACCTTCTTTTTGTATCCACAGCCTTTTGCTACACACTAGCACTGAATTCTTAAATCTACCCCATACCTCTGGAACTTCGTCCTCCTCCTCCTCCTCCTGACCTATAATTTCACTAGCCCGTCTTTCTCCCAACAGCTGCGTATATCTTACTCAATCTATCTCATTCTTTAGGTTTATAAACTTTCACTTATCTCTACTCACTGATGCAATTCTTCAGTACCCATCTACTTCTTACTCTCACTCTAGCTATAACTATATGATGATCTGATATATTTATTGTCCCGCTAATAGCATGCACATTCAGAAGTCAGCACATCAACCTTTTGATCACCAACGTTTAGTTCAACAATCTGTGGTACATTACTCCCTATATCATACTTCGTGCACTTCAGGGACTCCCAAAAGTCTAGAAAATATGGAGAACCTGCCCATCATTACATGTTTGTTCCCATAGGCTCAGAGACCCTTGACACATGGGGAAAGAGTGCATCTAAGTTCCTTAAGGAGCTAGGCAAAAGACTCATCAGGGTAACTAGGGATCCCAGGGCAGTTAGTTTTCTACTCCAGCGACTCAGTGCTGCTATTCAGAAGGGTAATACATGCTGTATTTTGGGCACACGCCCCAGTTCTGAGGAGCTGGATGAGATTTTCGCATTATAATCAGTGATATACACGTAACAATATATACTAGACATGTATATTTCACACGTCATGTACTGTATATGTCATCTTTATTTTAACAATGTATCTCTTACATCTTTTGTACCATATTATGTAATAAAATATACTTATTGGTAAAAAAGAATGAAAAGATGGGTGGTATTCTTCCTTGAAACCTTTTTATCTACTTCTCCGAGGCTATGGGTCCCACAATTTACACCGGAGGTGGACCCAATATATGTATATGTATGTATGTTATATATATATATATATATATATATATATATATATATAATATATATATATATATATATATATATATATATATATATATATATATATAATAAAAGTTTTCTACCTATCTGGAGTCTGCCTGGAAGGCATTCCGGGGATCAACGACCCGGTGGATCAGGGCCTGCTCAACGAGGCTGGCCACACGTAGTCCAACGTACGAACCACAGCCCGGCTGATCTGGCACTGACTTTAGGTATCTGTCCAGCTCCCTCATGAAGACAACCAGGGGTCTATTGGTAATTCCCCTTATGGCTGGTGGGAGGCTGTTGAACAGTCTTGGGCCCCGGACATTTCTGTTAGTGTACCAGTGGGGCCCCTACTTTTCACTGGGGGTATGTTACATCGCCTGCCAAGTCTTTTACTTTCGTAGGGAGTGATTTCTGTGTGCAGGTTAGGGACCAGTCCCTCTAGAATTTTCCAGGAGTAGATTATGATATATATCTCTCGCCTGCACTCCAGTGAATACAAGTAAAGTGCTTCCAGGCGCTCCCAGTAGTTAAGGTGTTTGATGGAACTTATACGTGCAATAAAGGTTCTCTATACATTCTCTAGATCTGCAATTTCACCTGCCTTGAATGGGGATGTTAATGTACAGTAGTATTCCAGCCTAGAAAGAAAAAGTAACTTAAAAAGGATCATCATTGGCTTAGAATCTCTTGTCTTGAATGTTCTCATTATCCATCCCATCAGTTTCCTCGCAGATGTGATAGTTCCACTGTTGTGATCCTTGAAGATGAGATCCTCAGACATTACCACTCCCAGGTCCTTCACATTACTTTTGTTTTTAGTATACTCAGTTCTAGTTATTATTTCCTCCAGTTTTCCATAACGGAGTAGTTGGAATTTGTCTACATTGAACATCATATTGCTCTTCGTTGCCCATTGGAAAACTGTGTTTATATCTTCTTGGAGCTTTGCCGTGTTCTCAATGGATGACACTCTCATGCAGATCCTAGTATCGTCTGCCAAGGATGATATTTACATCTCTGTCAGAAAAGAAAGTGAATTGTTTCCTGAAAGCCATTTTGTTATTTTTCTCACCTATCACATAACGCATTTTTTAATTCTATTAATACAATTTCATTCAGCTGCTCAGAAACCCATCTGGAAGTGTGAATGAATGAGACATTTTTTTTTACTTTGGTTCGCCGCACAGATATGATAGAGAAGGAAGGTTGTAGCTCTTGGGTTTGTAATAATCTGATAAAACTGGAACTCGCATCACTGAGGAAACCTGTGGCACGTTTTTTCCCTGGAGTACATGGAACTCGACTGGAAGAAAGTGGTTCCCATTCTTGGTTGCAAATTACATGGTTGTTCCTACAGGATGTTGATAAAGGTACTTATTAACATCTCGTTTCCCATACTAGTTGAGTTTATCTTTTTACCAATGATCAGCGGCACCGATATTTATTCAACACCAAAACGGATGCAGATGTCTGCCGCAGCACATCTGAAGTATAGGGCGACTCTAGTAATCTGCCGTTCTTCCAGGAATTTCAGATTATTATCCCATCACGGCAGTTAGCAGGCTTAATTATTGGGGCTCTTAAGGGGCTCTTAGCCGGGCGCTCAAATTGAGCGAGGTTCCTTATGATGATACTGACCTCTCCGTTTGTATAACCGCACGCTTGCTGTTGACTCTTTCGGCGACCCCCTTCCCCCCCTCCATCCTTTCCCACAGTAGCAATGGCGCCCCTGAATGAGCGATAAATAACAGTCCCGTGTCAGCCAATTTTCCCTAGAAGCCGACTACAGCAATAACAACAGTGGAACGTACATGGGTTCAAACATGCAAAGATTAAGGAGGAAACTAAAAGACTGCTAGGCAAGAAGGTATGAAAGATATTTTTTAAATAACGGAGTATGAATGCAGAAATAATCTGGTCATGTACGCTCAATAATAACCAACTTGGAGGCAGAAATTCAGGAGATTGATTGGTCTGTAAATTTAGACCCCCTTTTGGTATCCGCTTCAACAATGTTTTTCCCGTCTTAAAACAAGGAGAGAATTTGAAGGAAACGCGAGAATATTGTCATTTGTTTATGGAGACGATACCCATCTGGAAAGGTAAACTGGTAGTCAAGAACGGTAAAAATTTTCTTTGAGAAAAAGATCGATATGCTAAAGCAAAAAAAAAAAAATATTCGAAAGTGTCTGTATGACCTTGTCCTCTTCCCTCACCGATGTATATAAGTGAACACTCACTGCGAGCACTTCACTTGAGCCACAACACCCGCCACAATATGTTAACCCAGGTGAGTGCCAGGTTTAGCCAGAAAAAGTACCATGTTTGGTTGCAGCCAGATTATTGTTTTGCCTGAGTCAGTTCCACGCTTGGCTCTCAGAGTCAATGCCACACATGGCCCGAGAAAAATGGCATGCTTTACCGAGGATAATGACATTCTTAAGCAGATTCGGTACTAGGCACGTGTAGCAGTGCCACGGTGCGCCTAGCAGTGCCAAGGTGCGCCTAGCAGTGCCAAGGTGCGCCTAGCAGTGTAATGATGCGTCTAGCAGTGCCACGCTCCGTCTGATATTTCCATGCTACGTCTATCAGTGCTTCAGTGCGTCTATCAGTGCCTCACTGCGGTTATCAGAACAGAGCTTTATTGAGTCGAGGTGTCCAGACAAAGCAACAAGCTCTATTTGAGAGGTGCTAAATTTACAATCAAGTTTAATATTGCTCTCATAGGAGTTCCGAGCTAAATCAAGCAATCCTCAACATGTTGACGACTCGTTTATGTCTGATTTGAAAACAAAACAGACATTATAATTTTGGAATATTCAGTTGCGACAAATATCAGTGACCAAACTGCAATTGTACTGAAGCATTCGGGAATTTATTCAAGATTAAAAGCAACACAGGAATGCGTGATATTTTTCCTGTTGTTTAACGCGTTTTCAGACGGAGCTGTAAAAGAAATTAATGAGTGAGATTTAGGTAAATATGTGTGTGTATGTGTGTGTGTATGTGTATGTGTGTGTGTGTGTGTGTGTGTGTGTGTGTGTGTGTGTGTGTGTGTGTGTGTGTGTGTGTGTGTGTGTTGTTAAAAATAATATACGTATACTCAATTTCTTTCTCCTCAGTGCACAGCATGCATGATTCTCCTTGCCTCGCTAGCAGCGGCGGCGCCAGAGAACTTTCCTCACTTCCAGACCTACAGGGCCACGGGAGTACTGAAGCCCGAGTCCAAGGAACTTGGTTCATCCGAGAGACTTGTCGCTGCCACCATCGACCTTCTCCCGGAGATCGCCGACGTCTTCGAGCGAGTGGGAGGTGTCTCCTCCAACGACCCTGAGGCAGTACAACAGGCGATAGTTGAGTTCCTGCCTCTCACACGCACTTCCATAAAGGCGGCCGCCGAGGCAGAGGGAAGAGAAGTTAATGAAGATCACTTAAGGAGGCTCAGTGCTGCTGAAGCAGTAATGCCCGCCGTGAATGACTTCATGAACAGACTCAGAAGAATCAACTTCTTCAGGATCACAGATAATCAGCAGCAACAGTATCAGTAACTTGATCAATGGATACTAAATATGCTACTCTTTCCTGTATATTTTTCTTGACCTATATAGAGCACTTCACTATGAACGCAAGTAAAACCAAAAACCATATTTGAAATATATTTAATCAATGTTTCTAAATAAAATATACCATTAATCAATATTTTTAGTTCCAAGACCCAGAAACTTATAAAAAAAATCATGTTACTGTTTTCTAAAAATTACATTTCTCAAAATAGTCAAAAAAAAAAAAAAAAAAAAAAAACTTGTTACTGTTTCCTATAGGTCAATATTTTTCACCAAACACAACTCTCTCACTAAGAGTTCTTAAAATCCACCGAAGAACTAAACAGAAATTTCACTCCTTCGTGAATGTTGACACGTTGAGGTGTATACGATTACGCTTTTTTCATGTTAGATATTTTTCTCAAGCCATATAGTTATAAAGTCGTATGGAAAACTAGGTACCCAACAAGTAATCATTAGTATCATATTTACTAGATGGCAATATTAAAGTAATTATACCATGACATTTCAGTAATCATCTATAAAGTAATCAAATCTTTCAATAACATCGTCTGAACTATACAATAACCGTATAATTTATGTCCATTATCCATCAAACAACCACGTAAAAGCCTTCAAGTAATAATTCCATAACAGTCTGATGCAATAATCATCTACTAACAGTCTAATAATTATGCAATAATCAATCACTAAAACTACAATAATGGCCGCATAGTAATCGCAAGAATCTTCACTAAATTTCCACTATACGAGAGGGGATTATTGAACTTAATAATTGCAGATTCGATCCTTCCTCCGCTAACTGTGAAACACACTACCTAACTGTGCTCACGATATATCTAGTAAATATCTATTAATCACTAGATGGCTTTAAAATAATCATCAATACTCATATAATAAAAATTTCCTGAACATTACCTAAATCTTTGAAATAGTGATATTAACTGAACTAAACTTATTTCTTATTGACAGTTGCTTATTACAACTTAATTTGAGTCCATAGATGATGTGGCCTTGAGGGGGAGAGGACACATCTACTGTTAAAGCTCCTGGACTGAAGGAAAGAGTTCAGTTGAGCCGAACTGGCGACTTTGGCCTATTCGGCAAGTTCGGCTTCTTAAGCACGACATTAATATATATATATATATATCTTATATATATAATATATATATTATAATAAATTATATATATATAAATATATATATAATATATATATATATATAAATATAATATATATATATATTTATAATATATATATATAAATATATATATATATAATATATATATATATATATATAATATATAATATATATATATATATATATAATATATATATATTACACAGAGAGAGAAAGTTATGACAAGCTTTGGTCTCAAATTAAAATTCAATATCATGATTCACATCCCTGTATTAATTAGCATTTTAAATCTTAAAATCAAATGTAACTCATACTATGTATCATGTGCTTCACACGGTGAGGAAACATTGAACGTGTTTCCTTACACTGGTTGTCCATGTTCACCCATCAGTATAATGGGTACCTGGGTGTTAGTGAACTGGTGTGGGTCGCATCCTGGCAAAATTTACCTAATTTGCCATAAACGTTCTGCTTAACAAACGATTTTCTATACAGTAGTATATCATTGATGTCAGCTATGGTCTGTGTACCTTGTACATGTACTTGTAGTAAATAAAGATATTATTATTATTATTATTATTATTATTATTATTATTATTATTATTAGCAGCAGCAGTAGTAGTAATAGTAGTTGTTGTAGCAGTATTGTTATATTATTATTATTATTATTATTATAATTATTATTATTGTTGTTGTTGTTGTTGTTGTTTTTGTTGTTGTTGTTATTATTATTATTATTATTATTATTATTATTATTATTATTATTATTATTATTATTATTATTATTATTATTATTATTATTATCTGAAAAACAACTACTAAAGATTCATTGAGTATTTATTCAACTTTCAATATCATTTAAAAATAGCTCCGAGAAATCATCTAAAAATCAAGCAGTAAGCGCAGTTCTTTTAGGCAGAAAATACTGGAACATCGTCAACCAGTTACGGAGCGTCTGCGCTGACTTACTTCGTAGCTCAACAACCTTTTAACAATTCCAGGAAGTCTCTCTTGAGTAAATGATACTTGTCACCAGATGTTGCCCGAGATGCATAAGGTGAAGTCACAGAGGATAAAAACACCTTGCATGACATCTCGACTAGTTCTGATGAGAGAGAGTGAGAGGAAGAGTGTTTCTTGGAAATTCGCTAATTGGATTATCATATAACTCGTAACCTTGAACGTAAATACAGTGATATATTCATCTCAGTATTTATAAGTAAGACATGTGTGAAACAGTTAAGTTTTTTTTATTGTTGAAGCATTTCGTCTATGCGGGAGACTTCATCAGTCAAAGAGAGATAGGACAAGATTTCGATCGGATTTTTAACCCTGGAGGGTTAGCCACCCAGGATAACCCAAGAAAGTCAGTGCGTCATCGAGGACTGTTTAACTTATTTCCATTGTGGTCCTCAATCTTGTTTCCCAGGATGACACCCACACCAGTCGACTAACACCCAGGTACCTATTTGCTGCTAGGTGAACAGGACAACAGGTGGAAATAAATGGTATAAAATACCGACACAATGGAAATATAAACACATATGCAGTATAATGTGATCCTTTATTGACAACGTTTCTCCCACACAGTGGGCTTTTTCAATTCACAAACAGATCTACCTGGGTATATGTATGTATGTATAATGTTGGCCAAGACCGTAGTCCTGGCACGGGTCTCAGTCTTGCGATGACCCGTCTCTGGCTCCCGAGGGAGAAAGGTTTCTACAATGATGCGACATATGCTGCTCAAGCACTCTTCTGGTTAGTTCATCTGGTGCATCTCATAAGCGACAACACCATATGTACTCCTAACTGTGGACACTAGCGAGGAGGAGGATATGTCGTTATCACCAGCAACAGCTTGTCTAGTTCGTTGATTCCATGGTACACTAGTGTGGTCGCAGTCATCTCTGGGTCCTCTTCGGGAGGGGACATCAGTGCTAGTTGCCTGCGGAGTGTCTCAGTAACTTCGCACTTCAGAAGATAGTGTGTCAGGGGGCGTTGGATAACGTGCTGGCAGTACTGGCACATCTCCTCCTCAGCCTTGTCTACCATCATCTTGGCTGTGGGAAAGCCCAAACGAAGCCGATGGATGGCGGTACACTGCGCTCTGGACCAGCTTCTGTCATATGGAGGCGGTTCTCTCTGAGTCGCTGCTCGGTACCACTGTTGAGATGTGGTATCACCTAAGACCTCCTCCATAAGTTTCATTGCTCTGGCAGCCATCAGTTTGTTCTGTCGTAGGCTGATGGGCAGAGTAATTCCAACATGTGGATACTCTGTGGCTGCCTTGGATGCATCATCTGCCGCCTCATTTCCCCGGATGCCAGCATGGCTGGGGATCCAGTTCAATGTCGATCTGTTACCCTGAGCCTCTAAGGCTGTCATTATGCTCAGGATCGATGTGATGAGGTGAACATTGTCCTGTGGTTGAGGATTGGAGAGGGCATTGATTGCAGAGGTGGAGTCAACATGTATGACAGGTCGGAGCCGATGTCGTAGGGCGTGTGACAATGCCTGCTGAATCGCCACCAGCATTGGGTGATGTGCAGCATTGGGTGATGTGCATTGAAATCTCCACCCACAATAATACAATCAGTGCATGCTAGCGCGAGGAGCTCTGCAATGTCGAGGGTGTGTCTTGGGTTCTTGTAGATGTTATAGATAGTAATGGGCGCCCCAGGTATGTGTACAAGGATGGCCTGTACCTGAACATCTTCCCCACAGTCCACAGTCCACCTCGTGAGGTATTGTATCGGATACGAATACAGCTGTGCCTCTGCAGTGAACGCCAGCGTTCATGTGCCGAAAATACCCAGCAAAACCGGGTAGTCTTGGGCACATAGTCGGGACAGTCAGATTATTATTATTATTATAATCAAAGGGGAAGCGCTAAACCCGGCGGATTATACAGCGCCTGGGGGGGGGGATGTGGAAGGCATTCAGGCTTAATTCGGGGAACTGGAGCACAGATCCAATTCCCTAAATCAAGAGCCCCTCACCAACATCAAGGAACCTTCCTTGAGGGGGGGACAGTCAGAGTTTCTTGTAGCAAGACGATGTCAACCGGGACAGAGTGCACCCAGGTGTTTGTAACGCTGGCACTTGAAACAGCGAACTGGTTCTCCCGTGAAGGTCCTGACATCGTACCTGCCCCAAGAACCGAGGTCCAGCTGGGATGGCAGCGGTCCTACATGCTGTATGAGGACCTGTCGGGTTGGTGCATTGCCTGCCGTCTTTTCCTTGAGACGTTGAGCTGACACCACACTGGGGTGAGCTGCTACTGCATCATCAGCGGGTATCGCATCACTACACCTTGGTGATCTTCTGCCGAGAGTCCAGTTCCTCCAGGGTGAATGAGCGATCTGTCTCCATGACTCTCTTCAAGGTGGTGTACATTATCTTGTTGAGAGGAGTCAGTATTGGTTCTCCCCTCAAGTTGAACCATATCTTGAACTTTAGGTTGTGTCGTGATTCCAGGTATGAAACAAAGCCATAGTGGGCTCTGTGGTCCCCGTAAGACTTCACCTTGAATTTGCCAGGTAGTTTGAGCAGGTTTGCCTGCTTCTTGGACGGACGGCGCTTCTTGTTGTTGTCCACAGGGATCCATCCTTCTTGGTTCTCGGTGGGGTGTTTATTTCTTCCCCTGTTTCCATATTCGCTGGCTAAATGGTTGGAACTGTCAGATCTGCTACAATGTGAGTAGGATCTTCCTCTTTCTCTGATGACACGGAGTGGTCTTGCAACTTCTTCGCTAGAATTGCGCCCCACATTTCCAAATCCGAGTCCTCCGTCGTGTTCATGGAGCATCGAGGCCTTTTCTTTTCGGCAGAAGCCATGTGTCTATTTAGTGATAAGGTAGTGTACTTCGTGAACTGAGTGTGTCAAAAACTCGGTATGGCAGAGAACCCTGCCATAC